AGCCAAGAAGAATGATTCTAGCACAGGGCTTAAGAACTAGGCTCAGCATCTCTAGAGGTAAAAGACTACTGAATATGAGTTGCAGAAAAATGTCTTCAGTTTGAATCTCAATTTGACACATCAGTAACTATTCTTTCCAGGAAGGATCACTGTGCCTCTCTCATTTGTTTCAGTCTTAAAATAACAAATTGTTCTGAAGTCAGATTGACAACATGTCAATCTTAAGAAAGGTGCAACTTACAGGTGGAGGACTGGCAGAGAACCAATGGTAGAATCCCTGTTAGAGAAGCTAATCTGCTGAAAGTAAAATGAGCTCCTGTAGCCACATTTAAATACCTTAAGCTTGTATTTAAAGATGCAACTTGCACAACACTGAAAACTAAAAAGAATAGTTATAGCAGCTGTTGTTTCAACCTTAGAAGCAGTGACAGTAATGAGAACATCATATTTGTCTAGTCCAATAAAACTCTTGTTTATCTGTGTTTTGTGTGGGCAGCCAAATAAACTAATAATGGGGAAGGAGAGGAGGCATCACTATAGTCTAAACACTCTGTAAATCTACTGTGGTTTATTTGCAGAGCTAAGACATAATAACAACTTTAAAATGACCCTAAGGAATCACAAGGAGTTCTACAGTTTATTTCTAGTAGCAAATAAAAGCAAACACTCAAGACTTCCATGGACCTACTTTTAAGTTGAAAAACCAAGATGCTGAATGTGCTGTAGAATGGGATATGGATTAGATAATAGCTAAATTTTCAATGGCTTGACCAAGCAATGAGTGTAGATAGAAAGCCATGCTGAATTATTACCAATTTATTTGGGCAGAAATAATACCTTAATCTTAATTTTATAGCTAACAGCACAGAATAAGTCTGATCCTAGATATTGCTAACATTTTATTCTGAACATGAACCATGGACTCTATCGCTTTTGGAGAAATATATTCTATTTTACAATAGTAAGTGTGTGATATAACGAAGATTTAAAAGATGTAAACTAAACTTTTATGCTTAAATAGAGATGGTTGTTGTAAAAGGGAACCTTTAAGAAAACTTCAAGATCAAAGGCAACAAAGCAATGTGAAATAACCAGTTATAACTTCACTACCAATGTGAAATAACCAGTTATAACTACACTCTTCATAAGTAAGTTATCTAGCTGGGTGTGTTGGCTCACATATATAATCCTAGCTACTGGGGAGGAGGATCCCAATTTAAGGCTAGCCTCATGAATTTAGTGAGATCCTGTCTCAAATAAAAAATTAAAAAGATCAGGGATATAGCCTGATGGTAAAGCACCCCTGGGTTCCATCATAGTACCCAAAACAAAACAAAACAAAACAAGGTACCTCATCACTATCAACACTTTTTTAATAGTAGTATTGGTAAGGACACTGTTATGAATAAAATATCCTTTGGTATGATTTGGACCTAAAATGTCCCCCCAAAATTCATGTTTAAAGAGGTGGTCCCCAAAGCTGCAGTGTTCAGAAGTGGAGCCTTTAAAAGGTGATTTGATCACTAGGGCTCAGACTATGTTGGATTAATAATTTAATGGACTATTGGGAGGTGGTGGGTCTTTGAGGGCATGCCTTTGGGGCTATATTTTGTATCTAGCCTCTTTCTCTTGTTCACATTCTCTCTCTTTCTTTCCCAACCATCAGGAGGTGAGCAGCTTTGATTCACCATACATTCCCTGCCATGATCTCCCTCACCACAAGCCCAGATACCAAAGAGTCAAGTGACGATGGACTGAAACCCCTGAAACTGTGAGCCCAAATAAAACTTTCTTCATTTAAGTTGATTTTGGCAGGTATTTTGGCAGGTTAGTGACAGGTGACTAACCCATCCTTTTATGCTAAATTATGTGTAAAATTACCTACAGGAATTGCTCTTCCATTACTTTGCCTTCTCCATGTAGAATAGTCTAAAGACTTTTAAGTTTGTTCTTTTCTCTTTCTCCATAAACTTCATATAACCAGCAGGTGAATTCCTGTTGTAAACTTAATTGTGATGGGCAGTCCCAGTTTAGTCTTTCCCTAGTCTTAAAACTTGATTCAGGCTGTGGTTAGGCCACTTTCACAGCTGCACCCAATGTTTCACTTACACACATAAATAATTTAACTCTTTGGTAACTCAGAATATCCATTATGAAAACTTTAAAAAATACATTAAGAAAATCCCTTCAGTTTGTCCTATAATCTTGTGGTCTATTTTTACTAATATGTATTTTATTGGTTTCAAAGAGAAAGAAAATAGTGTACAATATTCTACATGATTTTTATTTTTATTTTATTTGTTCTAATTAGTTATATATGACAGTAGAATGCACTGTGATACATCATACTTAAATGGAGTAATTTCTCATTCTTTTGGTTGTACATGATGTAGAAGCCCACTGGTCATGTGGTCATATATGTACACAGGGTAATAATGTCTGATTTATTCTACTATCCTTCCTATCCCCAGTCTACATGCTTTGCAAAAGTCTGAGAAATCATATATGAAATTGTAGACTCCCACCATCTGGAACTCATTTTGAATACTTTGTATGTCAATATGGAGGTTTATCTTTCACATTGGAACATAGCTCCCACCCCTTTTCCAGTTGCAGCAAGTAAAATTGATGTCCTCTAATCCCAAATATATTAGTGGTCTACTGAACCAAGTTAACCTTTCTAAAGTGAATATAGCTCTCTATTTTAAAGAAAGGAAAATGGTGTCTAGAATACCACTGTCCAGTAGAAATTTCTGTCATGGGAATGTTTTATTTACAGTGTCCAATAGGGTAGCCAGTAGCTACCTATAGCTATAGAGCCCTTCAAAAGTGGGTAGCATGGCTAAATAACTAAGTTTTAAAATTTGATTTAGTTAAATATTCACACACATTGGTTTAGCACAGGTCTTGTAGGCCCTTAGAACATTCTAGGAAGTGTTAGAAGTGGAAGGCCTATCATGGACAATCTAAGAAACTTAAGTTATCATCAATGTTTTAAAAACCTTGTCATTCCTTCAGTATAAATTTTTCCAGAAGTTTCACATTTCAAAAAATAAGCCCAAACCAACCAAATTCATTAGGCTGCTTCTCTGTATGAATCATCCTTTTGCAAAGAGGTGTAAGACTGATTTTATTGCCAGCTCTGCCCCCTCTTCTACAGACAGAACTCAGTGATTAGATTCTGCATTTATTTAGGTTATTCTCCTAAAAAACCTGGTTTCCATACTGCAAATAAATGACAGGAACTTTTCCACTAGATTATCCCAGACAGCACAAATGTTCTTTCCAAAAGTGGAGATTGGAACCACAGCCCCCTCATGTTGCCTGTTACATCTGTTTATGATTATAGACATGACATACATGTTGTAGACAGAGAATGGCAATATCTTGGGAAAGGACTGAGAATATGGTGATGCTTAAAGAATAGGAAAAAAAAAATTCTCACTGTTCACAATAAAAGATCCATAGAATTGAGTAGCTAGAAAGTCCTTTTGAAATTGAAAGATTTTGTTCCCAGAGTATATAGATTCTGTGTACAGACTTGCCTGGGCTCAGACCCAGTAATAGTCATTTTTAGCTAAGACAGCCTTGGATAAGTTACAAATCCTAACCCTCAGTTTTCCCATCTGTAAAATGTAATGATCTGTTGGAGAAAACCTGCAAAAGACCTTGAAATGGGGACATCACTGTAGGTACAAGTGCTTTCAGATGGATGTCAGCTCTAGGAGTTTGGAGTTTACTGGTTCCAATTTGTACCTCTTACTAGGCTATTTCAATACTTAGTCAACTTAAGAAACTCACAGTGATGTAAATGATTCTTATCTATAAAAATGCAAATTTTGACTTAGAGGTAACCATTGGTTACCGCCCTATAGAACAGATAAGGTACCCCTCCCTTATCTGCTGTTTTGATTAACCTGGTTTCAATTATCCTTACCAGCAGTCAAACATGATCTGAGAACATTTACTGAAAACTTCTAGAAACAACTTTTAAGTTTTAAGTAACTTTTATTACAGTATATTGTTATAACTGTCTTTTGCAATGCACCTAATTTCTAAATCAAGCATTATCATAGGAATGTTTAGGGAAAAAAAACCCAGTATATGTAGTGCTCAGTACTCTGTCAAGTTTCAGGCATCCACTGGGGGTTTTGGAATGTATCCCCAGAAGATAAGGAAGGAGCTATTGCAATATGAAACATTACATTTCAGTGTGCTTCATAGATTAGGCAGTTTTGCCTCTTTCTTGATTGCCTGTAGATATGTGTTCTTCACATTTTCATTTGAATGAGTTGCAGTATATTGCTGGTTCCCTCCCTAGTTACCGAGTCAAATTAAATTTTTGACCTATGCTCATTTTATATTTCTACAGGAGTCATGTTTTGTACCTTCTTGATACAAAAAGCCTATGGGTCAGAACCTTGAGATTGGTTTAAAGGTTCATATTGGCAGTCTTGATCCATTTTATATTTTGCAGGCAAGTATAATACTTCTGACATTTTGGGAGATGGAGAGGGAAGGACTAGCACTTATAAAAGGGTTCAAGCCAGAGCGGGTAGGCTGAAAGCCTCTTCCCAACCAAGAAAGTCAGAAGCCTTCCTTACCCCTTTCCTTTTAGCAGTGGAACCCTAGGATCAAGATGGGTAGTATACTGGCCAGGCACAGTGGCTTAGATAGAGTGGGGCCCTAGGTCTTGGTCTTCCAGACAAGGGCAGTGGCCTAGATTGGATGCCTTGGGGGACATGGAGTTAACTGCCCATGAACCAGGGGCCATATTACCGGTTGCCCAAACCCAGTTCCGGAACCGACACGGGCCAGGCTCCGGAAGAGCAGGCCTTGTCCCAGGCCAGAGAGGCCCCTCGCCCACGGCCGAGGGGGTGGGGCGGCCTCGCCTCGGGCCGGTGCTTTTCGCCCTCCGTTGGCCGCCAGAGGCTCCCTCTCTCTCTCCCTCTCCTGGGATTTTGCTGCTGGGTTCCCTCTTTCTGCGGCCCTAGAGTTAATCCTATCAGCCGAGGTGAGGCACCTGTTACCCCGGGCCTTCCTTGCCCCGGCGGCCTGTCCTCCATTATACCCCGGCCTCCCCCACTGGCCCGAAGGCCCGGTGTGGGTGACCCTGCACGTGGGCCAAGCCCCTTCCCGGCCGGCGACCCCGACCCCAGGCCGGCCCGAGTGTGCTAGCGCATCGGTGCCCAGCCGCCACCGCCCGCCCGCAATGGCGTTGGGGAGCGCCGAGCGCCTCCTGGGGCCGCCCGCCGCGGTCAGGGCGCGCGTGGGGGCCGGGGCGAGGGTGGAAGCGGCCGCCGTAGCCCTCCGTGCGGCGCCGTGAGGAGCGGGTGGTGGGCACCCAGCGGGCCGGCGCCGATCAGCCGCGGCCACCGCGGGGCGGGGGGGCGCAGTGAGCTGGGTGGGAGCGCGCGGCCGACCCTCCCGCCCGCGGCGCTCCCGCTTGGGTAAGGGGGAGGCTGTGCGCGGGGCGAGGAGCTGGGGAGGGAGGAGATGAGCAGGAAAAATATCGGCATGTACAAAGGCTGAGTTGCAGGCTGGGGGTGGGGGTGGGCTGTGGTTGGGGAGCGAGAGGTTGAAGGATCCGAGGCATTATCAGTGGGATCTATTGTTTCCTGGCACATTGGGAGGAAAAACAAAGGGATTTATTATCATTACCCTATAATTTTCTTTTTCTTTTTTTTTTTTTTTTAAATGTGGCCAGGGAGCTCGTCTCTCCCATGCCACACTGGGATCCGCCTGGCAGCCGCTGGGAGCCGCAGCCAATGTGTTAGGACTTCAGGTGCTTCTTGGCACAAAGCTAGACTGCGACCTCCTACCATAGCGCTTGGCGTCACCTGCTCTCCCGGCCCTGCCCCGGGGCCGAGGGATTGCGTCCCGAACCAGGCTTGGGAATCCGCTGCCTCTCAAGTTGGTGTTATTTATGTTTGTCTTTTGTGAGGGCAGGTTTTGAATCCCCAGCGGCCCCATCGCCCCCGCCTCCGCCCCCTCGGGCTCGAATTGGCGGGGGAGGGAATGGGGTGTGTGAGTGGGGAGAGGGGAGGGTGTTTATGGCCTTAAAAAAAAATGTCAGGGTAAAAGGAGATTGTCGATGCTTTACAAAAAAAAGAAAGGGGGGAAAAAAAAAACTGGCACCACACTCTTCAGCCTTTCTTGTTTGTCTGCATGGGCCATGCATGCATGCTGGGCCAGGAAACGAGTTCTGAGACGATTTAAGTGAAAGTGTGTGCTTCCTCAACTGATTGTGCGTGAGGGTGATGTGGTTCAGTCTAATATTAAAACAAAACAAAACAAAAACAAAATGAAAAATCTTTAGAATGGTATTGTCTGCTCTTCAGCAGATCTTGAAGTATTTGATTGCTAGCATATTGATATAAAATCCAGCTGTGGGCTAGAGACCAGAAAGCATGCATTGCTGTTGTGTTTTGAGTTTGTAATAAGTTAGAGGCAAGAAGGAATAAACAAATCAGGGCTGGGAGAAGAGATGTCATGGTATATTTGCTTTCTGATTGTCACATTCTTATGCATTCATTCCGGTGATGTCTACGTCCCACTCCATAATTATATATCCTCTGTTAGAAAACTTCCAAATATTGGCTATAACTGAACTTAGAGTGAAACTTATTGACATTCAAGAACTTCTTTCTTGTTTTGTTCTGAAATTGCACTAGTGTCACTTTGGGGATGCTGTAGATGAGAATATTGGACCAGAGAGACTGAAATAAGCCAATGTGGCATGTTCTGAAGTTTGTAAACATAGATTCCAAACTTTTAACTGTACTTAAAGTAAGTTCTACCTGAGTATGGATAATGCCAAATGAAATTAATTTTTCTAGACAGTTTGATGATTTCTTAAACATACTTGAATTGCCTGTTTCTTTTAGGGTCATTTGCAAAAGCATCCAAAATGGGCTAAAATATTGTTTTCAAATGTACTTAAGTGTAATGTGGGTGGGGAGGAGGTGAGGGGGGGAGGGGGTGAGGGGGGGGGGGGGGGGGGGGGGAGTTCCATAGGGATCTCCAAATTGTGCTTGATACATTTTTGTTACCAGACCAATAAGAATGATAACTTTTAACTTTTTGATTTTTAACTTTCCATTTCAATAAATAATTTCTTCTGCTTGATATGTGGCTAAACCACTTGGACAATAAAGTGTGTATTAGTTGACTAAACATAAATTCAAGTACATGGATTCAGAAATTCATTCTTTTCTATTACAGATGAACCTCTAGTCTTGCTTTGAAAAAGCCATTTTGTGTAACTATTGACTGAATAATTTCCTAATACATTTGTTGGGACGATCACTGAGAGTATGCCACTTGAGCGGCCCTTTTCTTGACCAAATACTGGTGATTAGAGAAGAGAGTTTTTTTTTTTCCCCCTTGATCATTATGAACATTGGCTTTTCACCCTTGAAGTAAAAATGTTGAAAGCTGAGTCTTCAGGTGAACGAACCACTCTGAGAAGTGCCTCTCCTCACAGGAATGCATATAGAACTGAGTTCCAGGCACTGAAAAGTACCTTTGACAAACCCAAGTCAGATGGGGAACAAAAAGCAAAGGAAGGGGAGGGCTCCCAGCAGAGCAGGGGGAGGAAATATGGCTCCAATGTCAACAGAATTAAAAACCTGTTTATGCAGATGGGTATGGAACCCAATGAGAATGCTGCAGTCATTGCCAAAACCAGGGGGAAAGGTGGACCTTCATCCCCTCAGAGAAGAATGAAGCCCAAAGAATTTCTGGAGAAAACAGATGGCTCAGTTGTTAAATTGGAGTCCTCTGTATCTGAACGAATTAGTAGATTTGACACAATGTACGATGGCCCTTCATATTCTAAGTTCACAGAGACCCGAAAGATGTTTGAGAGAAGTGTGCATGAGTCAGGGCAAAACAACCGCTATTCCCCAAAGAAAGAAAAAGCTGGGGGGAGTGAACCACAGGATGAGTGGGGTGGTTCCAAGTCCAACAGAGGCAGTACTGATTCCTTGGACAGCCTTAGCTCCCGAACCGAGGCTGTCTCCCCAACGGTGAGTCAACTGAGTGCAGTATTTGAGAACACCGAGTCCCCCAGTGCCATCATTTCTGAGAAGGCTGCAAACAATGAATACTCAGTGACTGGGCATTATCCTCTGAATTTACCATCTGTTACTGTTACAAATCTTGACACCTTTGGCCACCTTAAGGATTCTAATTCTTGGTCTCCATCGAACAAACAAGGGGTTGATACAGAGGATGCTCAGAAGAGTAATACAACTCCAGTACCAGAAGTGGCTCCTAAAAGTACCTCTCTAGCTTCGTTACCTAGTGAAGAGATACAGCAGAGCCAGGAAGCCGAGGACTCCATATCTAACCAGGAGACTCCGGACAGAATTGACAAAGATATTCCTGAAGAGCCTTGTGCTGAAAATAAGGCAATGCCAAAGTCTGATATCCTTTCACCCCAAAACCAACCTTTAGGAGAGGCTGAAGCTAATTCTGTTGGAAGTGAGGCAGCAAAGCAACAGAGGAAAGAACTTGCAAGTGGTGATTTCACCTCTCCTGATGCTTCTGCATCCAGTTGTGGAAAAGAAGTACCTGAAGACTCAAATAATTTCGAGAGTTCCCATGTGTATATGCATAGTGACTATAATGTGTATAGGGTGAGATCCAGGTATAATTCAGACTGGGGAGAGACAGGCACTGAGCAGGATGAGGAGGAAGATAGTGATGAGAACAATTACTATCAGCCTGATATGGAATACTCGGAAATTGTTGGATTGCCAGAAGAAGAAGAAATCCCAGCAAATCGGAAAATTAAGTTTAGTAGTGCTCCAATTAAGGTAAGTTTGTTTTCTAAGTTTTTTAGTGTTGTGGCCTAACTATGTAGAATAGATGTGACAACTACTAGAAGTTTTTTGTAAGGAATTCAATAGTGTGGATGTGTACACCTGTTGGCAGGTGATTTTAAAAGTTTCGGTTTGGAGAAAGATTACATTTCTTAATGTGCTTTGTAGTGGCATAAACTAGTATTGAATGATATGAAAGTTGAAGTTTGTGAGGTACATTCCACTGGATTGGAGTATGAACAATAGAAGCACTGAAAATCAGAAGTGTCAGTTTGAAACAGAACTGCTTTAACAAGTGTCACTTAATGTTGCCTCTAAATAATAACCTGAATCTACGCACCATAAGATATGAGGTATAAGGTACATTGGGTGAGTTATGGTAACCTTGAAATCTCTTTATTTACTTGCTTAAAAATATCTGAGTTATTACTTACTTAAGTGTAAGTGGATTGTGAAGAATGTTGGAACTTTTTTTCATTGCTGCGTAGTAGTGAAAATTTGATTTATGGAAGTATATTAGTTGACTGAAATACTTTCATTGAAAAGCTATGACTGTAAACAGATTTGATTTCAGAATTTGTTGTATAGCTCTAAAGTGAAATTTTGTGAAAAAAAGCAAAATTGATTTGCCATTCATGGATTTAGTTTTACCTCTTAAAAACTGGATAAATGCCAGTTGAATTCAGAAGCTGTATTCTAATGACTTCACTTAGTTAATATTTGGTATAAGAAAATAGCACAAAGTACATCAGCAGCGGGTATTGGAACATTATAACATTATTAGTGGATAATGGCAGCAGGGGCAGGAGGTGGTCAGTTGAGTATCAGAATCCCCTGGAGTGCTTATTCAAAGTGTGCTTGCCCACCAGCTTAGTTCTCAGATTCTGGCATGCTCTCCTTGGGGAATCTGTGGGGTGGTGTGTAGGGGGAGTGTTATGGTGGCAAATGTGTAGTTTGAAACCACTTTTTAGGGGCTCCTAGCTTACATCCTGTGTATATATGATAGATTTGGAGTTTGGTGTCATATATTTAAAAAATTTCTCCTGAAAATCTAGAATTGCTGTTATTTCTCTTTATGAACTTCCATATATAGCCATAAGATATAGAATTTACATAGAAATACCCACAGAGAAGTCTGATTGCTTTAGTTATGAAATGCTATTTTGAAATAAAGTCATATTTTATTAAATTATTTTCAGCTGTTGGCAGGCAAATTTTCATTTTAATAGTGTAAGGCATTAAGTTCTGGATCAGAATGGATCATGTCAACTTAAACTGTTTGAAATAAACTTGAATCGTGAATCTAGTTTGAAAGTAAGCTAAGTAGGGTGCTTATCCACCTGCCAGTGTTCTTTTCTTTCCTTCCCATTCTCCACTCTCCTTCCACTTCTAGGCACTGTCCTCAAAGGCATCCTTCCCTAAAGCCTGTCCAGTGAGCACCCAAATTTCACCATTCATGCCCCTTTTGAACATGGTCTTTCTATCCTTTAGGAAGAAAGCAACAGGATTAAATCATTTCACAATGGGCAAAGCAGGAATAACTGAAATAAACTCTTCAAGGAGTTTGTTAAAGCCAGCAACTGACTTTTTAATAGGGGGATAGCAGTTTATGAACCATTTATTAAGTAGAACATTAGCCACTCAACTCTCTGGGATGCTCACTGTGTATTTGGGTCCTGTGCTGCACAAAACATAACTGCATGATATTAGATTTTAATTGACTTTAAAGGATTTATCATTGAAATATGTCTGTTCATATCTGGGAAGAAGCCAGCTTTTTGGGTACGATATTTTGAAAGTCAAGTGCTTTTTGCTGCTTTTGCTCATAATAGTGTTTTACCTCTTAATTTTCATATAATAAATAAATTGGATTTCTGAATAGATGGAATGAAAATAGATTACGTGCATTTAGGTTTAATACATTTCATGAACTTAGATCAAGCTTATGAAGCAAACATAACGCCCTGCTTTTTATCAGGCAGTTAACAGGACTAGTTGGAGTGGATTAAGTTTTCAAACAGAAGAGTCATTATTAGCCCTTTTGTAATGAATGAGACAATTACTCTTTCTTGTTTCCGTTGTTTGACATGCAAGTAGATTCGCTTGGAAATTTTGAAAACTGCTTTCTGTTGGTGATGGTGGTAGCATTTGGTTATTCTCCAAATAAGATTTTTTTTTTTTTTGCCTCCGAGGGTGGTAATACTTAATTAAATTAAACAAGTATTTTGGGAAGGCTTATCATATGTGATCTTTCATGCTGCTAGCTGCAGAAGACAGAAAAATCTATAAGGTTAGCCCTTTGCTCTGTGACCTTATAGAGGCAATTCTTAAACACATTATATTTAAAACCCATATAAGAGTGTACAAAACTGTGTCAAAATGTCTAATGTCTGGTGTGTTCTTTAGCAATACATGGATATATTCAATGCGCAGAGTGAAAGGGATTTGATAGATTATTTGGAACAGAGTATATTCAGCTACCCCTGTGTGTGTTTCCTTATTCTTTTCATAAAGCTTTATGGAATGGGAAATTAGGATTTCCAAACAAAATCTTTTCCTTTGAAATTTAAACATACTTTGGAAGCAACATGGTACACATATTCTTTATGGAAATGATTTTTGAAACTTTTATGTTCTTTTCCTGATATTTTATTCCTTACTCAGTAAAATAGTCCCAACATCTTTAGTGTTTTTGTAGTTCTTATTTATGATCTTTGCATGTGTGAATTGTCCTCGGTGTCTAGTTCACTTCTTTTAAAGATATTACCATAATATGTCTTCAATCTGGACCTAGAAAAAGAAAATAATAGCTGATCTTTCCTGGGTAGCATAGTCCCAGTACTTGTTAATGACTTAAAAATAGTCAGATGATATTGTTGGCCAGCAGTTAGTATAACTTCCCTCTGTTTCATGGGCACAGTTCTCTCTTATCGGATAAGTTGATGTCATGGAATATTCAAATGGGATTAATAATAGAAAATGTAAAATCCTCCTTCAAGATATGGACGGGAAGGTGTTATGAATCGAATTAGTTTGAGATGTGGAATTATGCTTTCGTTTTCAGGAATTTCTCAGAGACAAGGGATTGAATTAAAGTAAATGTGTCTAGAGGAATCAAGGATAGACAGAGTGACATTTGTCATTATTTTTTCTTTTACTCCAGAACAGTTACTGAGCCCCTCATAGGTACCAGGAACAATGGGATGTACTGTAGCCTTCCCAGTTAGGAGTCCCTGCTAGGTGGGAGGAGTGTAAACCATGAACAAGGCTTTTCAGGCTCATCTCAGTTCTGCTCTTGGATGACCCTTCTGAGGTTACTGTTGCCTCATGAAGGAAATCATAACCCTTTCACTGTTACTGATAGTCTTTAGATTGGTATTCTTGAAATATAGCGTTTTCTGAAAAAGTAGATTTTCTTTACTTCCAGGAAGGAGGAGAGTGCAGAGTTATTGTTGCTGTGTGTTGTGCTGTACTGGAGTGTTTTCTCAAACTATACAGAGCTTTAGAGACCTAGAGTTCAAAGGAGGACCTACAAGCAAAGTAAGGCTTCTTTAAACCTGCACAATAGCTGTCAAATATGGATCTCTTTGTATTCTCTCCCACTTTTGGGGCTCCCAGTCTCTTCCTGGTATGTGCAGTCTTTTATTTAAGATGGTATTCTGAGCATAGTTTTTCTGAGATCCAACTTTTTATCTTTGTGGAGGCTTCTTTTTCTTACAGTTTTGTCAGTGCTTCTTAAATTTTAATATGCATATGAATCACTTGGGGATCTTGTTAAAATGCAGATTCTGTTTCAGTAGGTGTTCTGTGGGAAATTACCTTCATGCAAAGGTTAGCCTCCAAATACAGTACCAGTCAAGCACTCAGAGGTTATTGAATAGAAGCATTCAGCACTCAAATTACAATGCTTGAATCTCTCAATTTATCAAATAAATTTAACGCACAAATCCAGAAACAAGAACAAAACCATGGAGTGAGTTAGTTAACACACTTAGATAAGGTGCAAAGTTGGTAGGACTCTACTGCCTGCTTCCTGGCTACATAGTGTTCACCTCCCCTGTCTCTCTTTCCCATTCGTCTTTTCTATTGGTGGTGTGGTTATGAGGACCAGAGTTAATATTTGGGCCAAGATTACACTGATTAATGATGTGGTTCCAGAATGGGACCATACTGAGAATCCTTAGTGGATGGCTTGATATGGAGGTGACATCCATCCGAAATAGAAGGCATAATGTCAGTTCAGACATGGCATAATGATGAATTAGTCTTTTTATCCCTTTCTATTAGTAATCTTTTTTTTTATCCCCATTGTATCTTTTAAAACATTTTTTTTTAAGTTACAAATGGACACAATACTTTTTATTTTGTTTATTTTTATGTGATGCTGAGGATCAAACCCAGTGCCTCACACGTGATAAGCAATCGCTCTACCACTGAACCAAGACCCTAGCCCTCCCATAGTATTTTATTCTATTTTTGCAATGTCATTTGGGCTACTAACTTACCTATTTGTAATATATATATATTGAATTCTGCCTTCATCTCACCAGCTTCCATTCTCAGGTATCTATACTTAACTTGTGAGTGTTGCCTTTTCCTCATAAGCTGTAAGCTTGCTTACCATCATTTAAATTGATCACTCCATATGAGTTTCATTTATTGCATTTGTTTCTGTTTTTCTTTTTTCCTTTTATTATTATTATTTTTTTCTGAACCCAGGGCCTTGCATATGTACTATATAAGTGCTTTACCTCTGAGCTACACCTCCAGGCCCCATTTGTTTTCTTGACAGAATTTAATATCCTCAAGTAATATAGCAAATTCATGGAACAGTAGGTCTGGAGTGGGGCCTGAGATTCTACATTTCTAACAACCTCTTAAGTGGTACTGATGCTGTTGGTCAACAGACCCCTTTTTGGACCAAGAGTTTGAAGCATAGTCTTCTGACTTCTGAAAGGGTTGGTTTGGTTTAAAGAAAGACTTTTTTCCCTTTA